TGGGGGGGGAGATGATAGGCATAAGCTGCATTCCTTGTAGAAGAGCTCTGGGGTGGGCTCTGAAATGCTAAGATATGCGTGGATACAGCATAGCTAAGACTAAGAAAAACAATGAGAAATAAGGCTGAGGATGCACAGTCTAACCCAGTGGATAGAATAGAGGAAGCCAGCTCTCCCAACTTTTTCATTTAGAGAACACTAACATTCTAGAAGCTACGGTACGTGCTTAAGATGCAGTGGATACCAACAAAATGCCCATGTCAGGGAAATGACAGGAAGGGTCAAACAGGATGTTAGACAGAACATCACTGAGGGGATGGAGATCCTTTCCAAGACTAATCTCTGCCAAAGCCCCTGTAGAGTCCTGAAGACAAAGGAGCTAGCGGTGAGGAGAAGAAAAGGGAGAACAAGCAAGAGGCTGTGGAGGCAGGAAGAGGCTTGGTGTGAGTGAAAAGTCAAAAAGACACTGGAAGCCCCAGGTGGAGAAAAGCAGGTTGTATAAGAGTTGGCTGGGTCAGCGACTTTGGAAGGACCATTCTGTTAGGCAGGACCATGCAACTAACTGCAGGCATAAGTTTGCTGGTTACCGTTTGGGGGGTTAATTTATTCTTATTTTGTTTCTATGAGTCTTTTGCATATATATGTACATATATACATATATATCTTTATATATAAAGTATTTTATATATATTTAATATTTAATATATTTTTATATAATATATAGTTTTTTATTGACCCATGTGTGCAGCGACCACAGAGGTCAGAAAAGGGCATTGGATCCCCTGTACCTGGAGTTATGGATGGTTGTTTGCCACCATGTGGGTGCTAGGCCCAAAGCCAGCTCATCTGCAAGAACATCCAGGGCTCTTTACCACTGAGCCATCTCACCAGCCCCATAAGCTTGGATTTTTATCATCAAAATAATGCAAACACACTGGAATGTTTTAAGTAGCACACTGAAGGGATTTTCTTATTGACAACGGAATGAGAGCAATGAGGTGGAAGCCAGAACAGCATTCTAGATATGACTGAAGCTGTCTAGGACAGACCTGGCCAATACATGGGCAGTGGAGGGGGAAGGGGTGCATGGACAGGGAGCAGCATCCTTTGAAAGTTAAGCACATGGTATTTCCTAGGTGATTAGATGAACGTAGTGAACACGGGAAAGAATTCAGGATGACTTCAGTGGGGTTGACATGGGTAGAAACACAGTAAAGAAGTGAGTTGTGATGATGTTCACTGTGACCTAACATGGTGGTGTCCAGTAGAGGATTGTATAGGCACCATCATCTGTGAACTACCTTCACTTGTCCTCAGAACAAGTGTTTGTGTAGTGATTTTATTGATATCAACCTTAACTTGACTATTTCATGGTTCAATGTTAATCAATATTATCCACAATCCCAAGGGTTCTGTAGCATTGTTTTTCCTTTCTTGAAGATATATTCAAATAAGAAATGACAACAATGTCCAAATTCTTTTGGAATTCAATTTTGACTTTTCCTTCTTCTCCAACCTGCAGCAGGGTCTGGGCATAACCTAACATGCATTAGCTTGGACTAGGCAATTGGCCTTGATACCCAGGAAGCTCTGTGGGCCTTTCAAGGAATTACTGTGAAGCTTTGTGGGACAAATTGGTCTAACAGCTGTGTGAGGCCCTAGGGGTGCCAGCCACCTAACTCCTGGAGCAAACCCTACTCTGTCCTCTGCTAGAGGGTGTGTGTGTGTGTGTGTGTGTGTGTGTGTGTGTATGTGTGTGTGTCTAAGGGGGTGTGACAGAGAAGAACCCACCCCACTTTCTTGATGTCGGTGCGCCCTCTGGCGGTCGGGTGCCTTGTGGACTTCCCTGTTTTTGTGCTAAACTGGAGGAGAGCCCTTGGCCTTGACCTCCCTCCCAGGATGGATATGGCAAGTGGTCTGACTTGCTTTCAGCTACAGACTAAGGAACAGATAAATTAGTGCCGCTGAGACTGAGGCTTAGGCTGGGCCAGGATGTGGGGCTAACAAGGGTCAGACAGAAGGGAGGGGGAGTAGTGGGAGGTAGCAGGGACTTTTGTTCTCTATAAAAGGTCACCAATTCAAAAGAAAACTAATGGCCATATAAAAATAGTGAAAATCACCTTTGGTGGGTGTTTTCAGAGGAAAATAAAACTATTCCAATTTCAACATTTGTAAATTAAGAGCACAGAACATCGGGCTGTGCTGAGTAAACACAGCACACAATGGAAATGTACTTCAGTTCGTAGGCTTCAGCCAGTTACAAGACAGGCGGGGGTGGCGGCCAGCAACAGGCAGCAGAGTCACGATCTTGCTGAGAGAACAGAGCAAAGGGGGAGGACTGGGCTTGCTTAGAAATAGACACTGTCTGCCTAGGCTGACGTCCAAGGGCTCACCCACACAGATGCACAAACTGTGTGTGTGACACACACAGACACACACACACACAGACACACACACACACACACACACACACACATAGCATTCCCTCAAGCTTAAGAGACTATAAGCATTTGACAGACAGCAAAATGTTGTGGGAGATTAGACCCAAGGAAGTCTGGGGAAAGAGAAACCAAGCCCTAAAATATGTGTCTTGAACCACTGGGTTCTTCAGTGAGCCAAAGGGGCTGCCTGCTTTGTTATAGTGAAAACCAGCCGCAAGACTCCATGTCTGCCTCATGATGTGGGCTGGAAATCAAGGAGCTGTGTGACTTGACTTAAGGTAAAGCACACTCAGCGGAGAAACCATAGCTTTCTTGCTGAAAACAAGGCAAGCATCCACCTGCTTCTGGCACCAGTGCTAGCCTAGGCTTGCAAAAATAACATCCTGTCCAGGTTCCAGCACTTGGTAAAAAATGAACTCCTTAGTGCATCCTTAGCAACTAGCATCCTGGCAAGCAGATGGCTAAGTCTCCAAGGGTTTCTCCTGTTGGCTGGACCGGTCTTAAGCTGAATGGGCTTAGAGCGTTCTATGCAGCATAATGTGTGAAGATAGATTGCAATTAGATGTAGAGCACTGTCCCATCTCCAGTGCCATCTACCTACTGCCATCACTTAGGGACCAGACCCTGAGCCTATACGATGTTACAGATCCCTCCAAGGGAGGCTTCTTGTGGTAAAGGTTTATTGCTATGAACCAGGATGGGGGCCACAAAACTACACTAAATTTAAAAGTAGTAAAGGCAGGAGAATGAATTCATTTAAAAATGAATGGTGGTTCAAAAGCACAGGCAACACAAATGAACAATAGACCAATTGAGCCACATCAAAGTTAATAACCATGGGTCAAAGGACAGTCAACGCAGTAAAAAGGTAAATCTATGGGGTGGGAAAGTGTATTTGCAAATGTGGTAAAGAGTTAATATCTACAATATAAAGAACTCTTAAAATTTGACAACTTAATAAAAAGTATCCAAAGAACTCGGAAACATGTTGCTCTAAGGAAGATACCCAAATGGCCAACAAATGTGTGAAAATCTTCGCAGAATCATGACTTGTCAAAGGAATGGAACTCAAAATCAAAATAAAGAACTGTCTCATCTCCAAAACTGAAAATAAAAAAATGTTGGTAAGGATGTGGAGAAATTAGAAGACTGAAGAAAATAGTGTGACCATTCTTAAAGAAAACAATGTAAAAATAGAATTACCATAGGATCCAGCACTTCCAAGATATATATACCCGAAAGAACTGAAAACAGAATCTCACAGATCTTTGCATACCCATGTTCACAGCAGTATCCTTACAGTGGAATAGTATTTGACCTTTAAAAAGGAAAGGGGATGTGACCTATGATGCAGCATGGATGCCATTTTGATGATACTATACAAAACAAAATAAGCAAAACACAAAGGACAAATATATAGTCTTTCTATGAATGGATGGATAAGTGAATGAATAGACCGTGAACATGATTCTGAGTTCTGTACATAGAACTTATCTATACTAACCAGCACTTACTTCTGCAGCTCCTAATCATCGGGTAGCATCCAAGTTAGATATCTCCTCCTACAGAGCCCATATTTCTCTTAAGATGCATTGGCTTGTGGGAGGAAGCACAGGAGTTTTGGTGACTCGTGCTCATTCATTCCCTCATTCATTCATTTATACACTGCCTTACTCTCTAGGTGAAGAAATGTTGTCTAAATGCCTCCTGTATGCTAAACATGGTTTCAAGGCTGCAATCAGAACAATGAGGGAGATTGCCTTGGCCTTACCCTCAAAGATCCCACAGTCTGGAAGGAAAACCACATCCATCATAACTGGCCACCAATATAATACGAGCCAGGAGAGGGGAAGGCTCTGGGCAGTGTAGAAGCCTAGGGAGGGAGGAACTCCCTTGTGGAGGACTGGGTGCATGCAAAAAGGTTTTCTCAAAGGAGCAGTGCCAGGGTTGAGTCCTGAAAGACCAGTATGCTCAGGCAGACACAGGAAGCTGGACGGATTTGTACCAGGAGGGAAATTCTTGTGTAAGGGAAAGAGAAACTTGAGGGAAGGAAAGCGCTTGGTGAAGAGAAGGAGATGATGTGAAAAGCAGACTTGAGCAGTAACCACAAGTAGCTGAAAGGAATTTATTAACTCGTAAGTGCCTCTAATTCCCAGTCTCTCACCCAGCACTAGCCTTTACAAGCTCTTTAAGGTGTGTGTGTGTGTGTGTGTGTGTGTGTGTGTGTGTGTGTGTGTGTGTGTAAGGTGGTGGCCAGACAAGTAGGTATGCTTTGAGTGAGCAGACTCCAACTGTCCTGCAACCACCCTTAGAGCCCTTGCATGCCTTGGGAGACAGACATAGTGTGCATGGGCCCAGTGTCCCCGGCAAATTCATAAATACATACATGTGCATGAAAATGGGGTATTAAGAGCACATGTTACAAAAGGCAGGAACCAGAATGAAGTAGGGAGTGGGTAGCTGGGTATAAAGACACCACTGAGGGGGATCAGGCACTGGGTGCACACTGCTCTTCAGATGAGCTTCATCAGAGCAGATCATTATCCAGCCTGGTCCCAGGACAGACCCCTGAAGAACAATTTAGCTGTCCCCACATTCCTTCTCAGACACAGGCAGGCTGAAGCTCCTGGAAGCCCAGCCCTCATGATCTGCACTATCCGCGGGTTGGCCATTGGCTACACTTAAAGGGGAGCTTCAAGATGTTGAGACCAAAACCCTATGCCTCAGCAAGGCCTTGAGGAGACTTCAGAGGGATATGAGAATAATGCATGTAAATGTGGAGATCTATACAACACTTCTAGCTCCTGGGGTCAAAGCAAGGCTGGAGAGGCGCCTATGGCCGCTCAGCAGCAGCTGGCTCGGGGGTGTTTATCCCATCAGATAGGTAATCGTCCTCGTGGTTCTGTTTCATCTTAATCTCCAGCACTGTGATGCGCTGCTTGAGCTTCTGCTGGGCTCCGGTGTACTCTGCCAGCAGGCGGCCAAAGCGAGTGTACAAGGTCTCCATGTTCGTCTCCAGCTGCTCCAGCTTCTCCTGCACGTCCACCTCCATGCTGGCTGCCACTTCATTCTCATCCAGGAGCCCCTCCTTCATCAGGATCTCCCGACCCCGCTCTTCTAAGACCTTCTTGGCATCTGGGTACTCAGTCACTGCTTCCATAAGGTCATCCTTGGACAAGCAGAAGAGATCTGAGTAGCCCAAGCTACGGATATTGGCTGTGCGCCGATTGCCCATTTTGCTGCCCTTAATGTTAAGGATACTGATCTCTCCAAAGCAACTCCCAGCTGAGAGCAAGGCATACTGAGTCACACCATCGTCAGCTACCACTGCCAACTTGCCCTCCTTGATGATGTACATCTCCTTGCCAATGTCCCCCTTACGGCAAATGTAATCTCCGGGGCTAAAGACCTGAGGTCGAAGCTTCAGTACCAGCTCTACCAGCAGGCCAGCCTCACAATCCTGGAAGATACGCACCTTCTTGAGAGTGGATAGGTGGACATTGATGGCTATCTCAGCCCTGAGCTTCGCTGGCAGGTTCTTGAGAACTTCCCGTTCATCTACTGTTTTCTTATTGGTCCACAGGTAATCAAACCACTTAATGACCTTGGCTTCCATCTCTTTGCTGACCTTGCGGAACTGCATGTAGTGTTTGACGGCATCGATCTTGGCCTGGAACTCTGCTCGTGTGGCATTCATGTTGGAGATCATGGAGCCCACGTTACCCACAATGGTGGCAAAGATGAGAACACCGATCAGGAAGTCAAAGATAACAAATAGGTACTCCTCATCCTTTACAGGTGGTGGTGTCTCCCCAATGGTGGTGAGGGTCAGTGTGGACCAGTAAAGACAATAGATGTACTCCCTAGCCAGGTAGCCATACTCTGGGTCAGTGATATTGGGGTAAACCCAGGTGTCAACCCCAAAGCCTATGGACTTGGAGATGGCATAGTAGATACAAGCATTCCAATGAATAATGACCAAGATGTAGAGTACCAGGTTGCTGATTCGGAAGATGTTGGGGTAGCTGGTGCGTGTCTCAGTGCGGTCAAAGAACTCAAACATGCGGGCGAAGTGCAACAGGCGGTTGAAGCGTACCTCAGGGCTGTGAATGCCCACAGCAAAATAGATGAGGTCGGTGGGTATGATGGAAGCCACATCTAGCTTGAACTGCAGGGTATGGATGTAGCTGTCTCGCAGTTTCTTGGGATCTTTGACCAGAAGTCCCTGCTCTAAGAAGCCTAACAGAGATACAAGGCAACATGTCACTTCTGCTCTCAGGCCTGTTCCTCCCTATAAGGTGACACTCAATAAGGAACACATTGCTCACTTAGCTTTTCTTTCCACAGAGGACTATAGACCACATAGCAGGGCTGGCCAGAAGGACTCCAATCCCACTGCCAGATCAAAACTTCCATAAACATGTGAAGCTATAGATTTAAAATGGATGAGACACCTCTCAGAGGCCCAGTCAGGAAATGGATTTCAACACCATGCCCCGTAAGTTTCCTCAAAACTTGGACTCGGTTCTTTGGGCTTAGGGGTCAGCTGTTTGTGTAGCCTAGGTGCTCCCTCACCTGTACGCAATCGGATGAAGAGGTCTGCAATGTAGACCATATCTGAGAAGTAGTCCAGCACCAGCCATACCACAAAATAGTTTCTCTGGAGGTCACTGAAGCAGGCTCTGTAACAGGACAGGGATACCTTCACTCCCAAAGTCAACTAAGGTCCCCCTGGTACCCCTGAGCTGTGTGCCTACTTGTGCAGGGAGGGTTTCAATGGCCACCAGGGCACAGCTGAATGGTTGAATCAGTCTGCTTGGTGCCAAGAAGATACTGACTAGTGACTTCTACCTGAACCTTTATCATTAAATATATATCACTGCACATGCATCAGTGTTGACCTTTGCTTGTCTTCCTAATGTCCTATACCTTAAGAGCCAGAAAGAGAGAATACATCTTAACCATCACTGCATGCCTCATGCCTATCCCAGAGACCCAGAATTCAAGTACTCGGTGCTGTGAGTTGAATAAATAAAGCATTAGAAGAACATCTGAGTGGCTTCTTTGTTATTTTCTTCCATCGATTCCCACTGAGCATCCAACATGGACTCCTGGCCCAGGTGAGTGGGGTTTAAGCTATAGGTGGTGAGAGTGAGACAAGAGAAAGTTTAGTGACTATAGGAGTTTTGTAAGGAAATCTTGCATGACTTGAACTAAGAGTGGGTAGAGCTTAAAGGAAGGGCCTGGGGAGGGGGACAGAGTAGGGGAGCTACCTGGTGATCAGCAACTGTACTAGTTCAAGGGCAGAATGGTCACATTTAGAACCTAACTCCAGCACACAAACTGGACCTCAGCCTTCAGTCACGCTAGACTGTCCAGAGATAGGGGCCTTGGACATGTTGTTCTTTCTGCCGAGAAGGCTCCCTCTGCTAACCTCACATATCTAACAGATTATTGTCACCTACTGGGATCTCAGCTAAGGCTGCATAGAGGCCTATTGTGATGGCTATTCCTCTAGCAATGTGCTACCATGTGGCCCGGGAATCCTCTTGGTCTTTTATTGTATGTGTACATTCGGTCTAGCCGAGAACCCTAGGAAAACAGTGATCACGCTTGTCCTGCTCACTCCACAGCCCACTCAACATGGAATATATGGCCTAGCACCCAGAAAGCATGTAGGCAAATCCTGGCTGAAGGAATGACAGAGATAGAGTGGAGTGCCATGTGGACTGCTAGCAGGATGAGAAGATGGACACATTCAGTGGATCTTGAAGATCGATCTTAAGGCTTGAACTTCATTGTGTGAACAATGGAGATCCATTGAATGGTTTTGGAAGAGACTAGTATAACCAAATTCCAGTTTCTACATAGCACATTAGTTGCAAGTACGGCAGATATACACTAAAGGGGTCAAGAGTACCACCAAGGCATAGAGGTGGGATACTCTAGCTTTCCCAGAGAGGATGATACCCTTACTGAGGATGGTATTGACATGCATGAAAATTCAAAGATTGCAGACCCCAGGAAGAGGACTGACATGAAGCCTTGATGGCATATTTAATAGTGGGGAGCACTGAGGTAGCAACATAGACAAAGGAGATTTTAGCAGTCAGAAATTTCAGAAGGAGCCTTACATTGGTGTGTCCTCTTTATACATAGTTGGGTCTGCTGTGATTTTAAACCCATTTCCTACAGATTGTGCTACTCTGACCATTGCCACCCAGGCCCCTCCATGCTCACCTAGCCACCAGCAGGCACCAGTTGTAAAGGACAGGCATGGCAATGACAAACAACCAGCGGTAGTACCAGTCCCCAGCTGGATCCAAGACGAACAGTTCAAATTTCTTCCTAAAGAGACAAATAGAGGCCACTGGGGTGATAGCACTCCAGGTCTCAGGACCCAGAGGTCCCCAAAACAGCAATGATTAAGAGGGCATGTGGGATGAAGGGTAAATTGTTTTACAGTTCCCTTTTTCAGTGATTCACAACTGACTGCCAGGCCTCTGACTCATTTTGACCATTGAAAGGTGCATTGCTTCCCCTGGGCTCTGAAAGGGTGTTGCCCAGAAGACATATCAAAGATAGGAGTTTCAGCAGGGATGGGCTTTGGGACCGGAGGAGGGTCATAGAGGCCCCAGGATGGTAATAGATCTTAGGCCCATTCCTGTATTCCCCTTGGGAAAAGGGAAACTCCAGGCTAGTGAGCTCCACGTACTTCTCTTTCTGCTCTCTGGCCTTCAGCCTCCAAATCGCTTTCCCAGATGCTGAATCCTATCTTGGCAAGAGTCCTTTCCCTCTAACTGTGCCTTTTACATGCCTGCCCACTGTGCTCTCTCCTATTCAGTCATCTAGGCCTTGTGCCCCATGTTCCCACAGTCTCTCCAAAAACCCACTTCCTTGGCCACAGTGGAGCTGGAATGGGCATGACTTCAAATAGCACTCTGTGACTACAGCCTCCCTGGTGATCACTTACTGACTGCTGAAGCTGGGGCTAAGCTTACATGCTCTTGGATGAGTCCCTACCCTGTCCACATTGACTCCATGAGAGGCAAGAGGATGTCTAGTAAGGGGGCAGCTATGATGTGAAAATCTACTCAAGGTTCCCATGGGAAGATCTCTGCTGTTAGAAGGGCCAAAGGGGAGGACAACAGAAATTGTTCAGAAGAAAAAGAAACAGTAGGTCACCTCTGCCTCGTTTTTATATAGTATGATAAAGCTAAGCACAGCCCTGGCCTGCCCCTGATAATAGTGCTAAAAGCCCCACTGAAGGTGTGGGGAGCCTTTGGAGCCCCAGAGACTAGAGAGCTGTACTTGGTGCCCTTTCCATCGCCGTCCTTGTCGCCTTTGCCTTCCCCCTGCTGTGTCGTCACGGTCTGGAGCTCAGGCCCACGGAAACGCTCTAGAAATGAATCAGGTCTTGGTTCCTTCTCACGGAAATTCTTGTTGGCCCAGTCTCTGATGACCCCCACCAGGCGGACGATCCTAGATGGTAGAAAGAAAGAGTGTGTGCCTGAGCAAAGACCAGCGCTGAAAGAGATGGAAAAGAAGAAGGAAAGCAGGAAATAGGCCAGGCTCTAATTTCCTATGTGCTAAGATCTGGAAAGAGGCCAAGCATTGTAGACCTGCATTAGGGTTCAGGAATGACCTGGAGTGCATCCTGTGGGGGAGGAAGTCCTTCAAATATTTCCTATGTAAACGTGACATTTCAGTTCACCGTGAAGAACAAACAGGAGATTTTGAAGGCAAGATAAAGATTGTGTTGTCAGCACAAAGGTTGCTCCAGACTTCCTGATTTCCCTATTAATCCTATGACTGTGTGATAGCAATTTTGGGACCCTATATGTGGGCTTCTGTGCTGTTAGGTCAAGTATGAAGGGATGCCTCATCTGCCTGCTCCCAGCCTCACAAGAGCCTTGAGTTGCTCAAGCTTCTAGAATCTTACAGAAAGACAGTGCAGCTGAGAGGAGGGCCCCAGTAGCCATTTGACAGGTCCCAAGAAGGAGTAGCAGCAGGTCACTGTGGGTGACTCACCTTCGGAAGCCACCCCTCCCCCTCCGTGGGGTATCCATCTCTGCCAGCCTTTGCAGTTCTGAGGAAGTATCATCATCAGCCGCAGACTGTGGCCTGCAGAGAAAGAAACAATGTTGAGCCAGCTTCTCCCAGTATGACTTGTCTTTTCTCTCGGGACATGTATAAAAGCCCCATAGTTCCTTTAGAGGATGCCCTAAAGCCAAATGTGGCTTGCTCTATAACAATAAGGTAGAGCTGAAAAGAGACAGCATAGACGCTGGGCTATCGATAAAATCATAGTCTGAGTCAATAGTGGAACTCGGTGATAGTTTGCTTTCTTGGTATGTTCAACACTCTGGGTTCCATCCTCAGCCTGGCAAAAGAGAGAAAGGGTAGGGGAGGTACTGGGAAAGAGGGAAAAAGTTAGAGGGCGGGGAAAGAAAGGAAGAAGAGAGGGAAGGAGGAGGGAAACAAAATCACTGCCTCCGTGGACTCACCTACTTCCTGTCCTGTGGTCATCTTTGCCATTGGCCTTGATAGCAGGGGGAGGATGGTGGTTGTGGTTATTAGCTGGTGAGCTCTTCACACCATTGGCTTTTTCAGTCATCCTCCATGTACATCCAGGGCTCTCACCTGCCAAGGAAACAACAAATAATGTTCCAGAAGACTGTGGTTCCCAAAGACAGCAGGAGGGCAACAAGTGAGCAGAGTGAGAACAGAACCAGGACCAGTGGCTTCAGTAGCTCATGTGTCAAAAGATTCACTAGGTTCAAGGAAACAAAACCACATTTTGCAGTTTTAGCACTCTTTACATTTTATTTTTTTATTAGTTTTATTTTGTGTGTATGACTGTATTGCCTGCATGTGTGTAAGTGCATCTGTGTAGTACAGTGCCCATGGAAGTCAGAAAAGGACATCAGACCCCCTGGAACTGGAGTTACAGACGGTTGTTAACCATCATGTGGATACTAGGAATCGAACCCCAGTCCTCTGCAACAGCAGCCAGGGCTCTTATCTGCTGAGCCATCTCTTTAGCTCCCTGTTGACATTTTAAATGGCATACCACAGTGATGGTTAATCCTACCATCTCATACTACCCCAGCTGTCAGTACATGGAGGGGTGGGGGTTTCTGAGATTTGCCACAATCTGGGAGAAATGAACAGTACACATATCCACAAAACAGACTGAGAAAGAGAAGTGAAGGAAAGAGCAATCCAGAAGTGAGAAAGGAGGTTGTGTACCACAATATCTCTTGCCACAGTTAGAACAGTTGGGGTCAGAGAGCCTGGAGTAGCTTCTCTGTTTGGATGTTGAGTCTGTATCACCTCTATAACTTCAGAGACCCTAGAAGCTTTAGCGATTCAAGGCTCTGGTGAGGAAAGCTGGGAGTGGGCATGGGAAGGCTTCCCTAAATACTTGACTGTGTCAATACTGGAGAAGTAGGAATAACCTTCACATCAGAGGGGCCTACGTATAGGGTCCCCAAATTGTCATCACACAGTTATAACATCAATAGGAAAATCAGCAAGCCTGGTGCAACCTTTGTTCTAGTCTGTCCTGACTTAAACCTCCATGTTGCCCTGAAGAACTTCCTGTTGTTAAGCAGGAAATCTGAGGACATCTGCCTCTAGAGGATGCACTTCAGGTCATGCCTGAACCCTCAACGATGACCTCTTTCTAGCTTCTTTCACTCATTCCTGCTTCTGAAGCTGTCACCATGGTGATAGCAGCCATGTCGAGCAGCCTCAGAGATGCTCTCCTGGTGCTCTCTGGGACTGTGGCATCAAGATGCTAATGAGGGCACCTGAGGGAAAGAAACCGGCAGCCGTAAGTGCGTGCTTAGACTCTGGAGGCAGCAGACCATGGAGACAGAAAGTTCCAGGTAATGCAAACAAAGACAGGGCCACTCACACTGATCAGTTTCAAGGCTTGTGATGTTCAAGGTCATGTTGATGATCAAGAGGGGCTGGCGTACATATTTACCCTTCTTATGCTTTTGTAATCAAGAACAATCCCTCCCTTGTGGCTCCCTGCAGCCTCTGACAGGAACAGGACCTCCCTCCCCTCTTGTCTGACTGTTGTGACATCGCCCAGCCACACATGTTCTTTTATCAGAACTGACCACTAAGGTTACTTGCTGGGGAACAAAGGGAAGCAGTTAACCATTGCTACAGCTAATCCACAGTTAACCAAGTGGTTCTTATGGGCACACTGTTGCAAGACACCTCATCTAGTCCCAAGGCTTCTGGTACGCGCTTTCACACCCATGTCTTCAGCCAGCTTCCTGCTGAACAATTCCCTTGAGGCACCTCAGACCCTCTAAACCCACAGCACTAATTCCACATTTGACACATTCATCTGCAAATTAGCATCTCCTCCGGTTTGTCCCTCTCCTAAAAGGGCCTTTCTTTCTGCCCAGTCATTCAAGTCAGAAATTTGGATGTCACTATAATGCTTTGCTTCCCTGATCCCATTCAAACAGCACGTTTCTTGTGTTAATTCCTCCCCATTCAAAGTTTCCACATCTATCCATTAGTTTTCTTCCACCAGGGTTCCCCTCTTCGCCACGGCCCCCAAAGCTTGTTACAATGGACTCTGAATGATTGGCACTCCCTGGGATCTGGCCTAGATGGAGTTTATGGATACTGTCGAGGTTTAGTTTGCACTAGTTAAACCTTTCACCTGAACAAGCCTCGTCTCTTCATGAAAGGCAAGAGGGCTGAAGGATAGGGGCAGAGTTCTGAGGAGCTGCAACTGTGACAGGTAGTCCAAGAGGCTGAAAATGGAGGGCATGGAAGAGCACAGACAAGGCTTGAGAAAACATGCAGACTTCCCAGGGAAGAGAGTAGCATCAAGGCCAATGCCCATTCTACTTCCTTATCAGGCCTCCTGGAGAGTCCTTGCCTGTGCCCCCGAAAATGAGGCAAAGAGCAGAAGCTGTGGAGAACAACAAGAGCAGCATCAAGGAGTTATAGTCCAAGAATAAGGAGTGAAAGATGAAGGACAAGAGATAGGGCATGCAGCTAACTCTGGCAGTTTGGCTGAGAAAGGGCAGAGATATAGTGGGAACAGAATAAAGATGCAGGCTGAAGAAGAATTCTCATTTTATGTTGCCATTGTTGTTCTTTTCTATCAAGAGACAACAAAGCAATCTTAGCTGTTCCGAGAAGTGATTCAGGAGAAAATTCGTTTTTGTGCTTGAGACCAATTCCACTAGAAGTAGAGCCCCTGGAAGGTAGATGTGATGGGTGGGCTTAGAAACCAGAAGAAAAGAGAGATTTTTCAAGGACATGGGGAGGTGCTACTGAGGAACAGACCATAAAGAAAGAAAGCACTAGGGATGTTAAATGGGAATAGGGATACAGGGATAATAACAATAGGGATCGTGAGAGGTGGTTGACAGGGTGGATTCACTTCTGCAGAACTCCAGCACTGAAAGTGAAATGGGAGGGAGTTCCACTTTTGGAAGTGCCAGGTCACAAGCTGTACAAAATTTGGCCGAGGCCAAGTTTTCAGTGGCTGCTGTGGGAGTTCCAACAACTGTGAGAGCTGAACCAAGCTTGGCAAGAAAGACAGCACGCCATAGAGTTGCCACAGAGAAGAGAGAGGGACTCTTAGGTGAAGAGTGGGATCCTCAAGGGGAGTATCTTCCAAACCCAGACAGAGTAAGACATGTTAATGCCATTCTTCCACTTACTTGACTCCAAAACCTTTGTTTTCTTACCTCCCTTTCACACTTGTCCCATTCTAGCTATACAAAGCATGTACACATCAATATCTCACTATATCCATTTTGACTTTATTAGCCCAAGCAATCAACTCTTCTCAGTGCGTGGAATTGTAGATGATCAATAAATAGACTTTGGATGGATAGTTAATGAATTGTTCCTGCACTTTTTCTATGCCACAACTCTCTGTTTCTCTCTATCTCTGTTTACTCTCTCACTCTCTCTCCTTTCATTATTTCCCTCATGCCCCTGATCACCAATTATGTTATTTTATTTATTTTTATTTTATGTGTATGAATGTTAAACCAGCATATGTGTAAGTGTACTGTGCTCTGCAGTGCCCTCAGAGGACCAAAGAGGGCATTGGATCTGGAACCGGAGTTATAGGCAGTTGTTAGCCACCATGTGGGTGCTAGGATTTGAACCCCGGTTTTTTGCAAGAACTCATTCTTCCAGCCCCCAGTTACATTATATTAAAAAACATACAATAGTTCTCTTGAGTAAATTGGAGTAACAGGGACTGAATATACCACCAAGAAGACAATACCCATAGTTAGAAAACAAAGATGTGATGATTTTAAGCACTAGGCAGCAAAAACAGTAATCCTTAGGAGGCAGGAAACAAATGAAGTGGGCCTTGGAATCACCCCTCATTCTCCCTGTGGTCTTACAGCAGAGCCTAATGGATTCCTTGAATTAGGAAGACTGCAGAGAGTTTAAGGAGACCAAAGCTTCTGGAAGCCTGAAAATGGACCCACTTAGTGCTTGTCCATATATATCAATGAGGAAAGAATTATTTTAAATTTAACATTACAAGTCTCAGTTCTCACATGGGGCCTGATGTCACCAAAGAGACTAGGAAACCTAATGAGGCATAGAGTATTGGGTAGAGTATTTAGAAGGGCTTCACGTCAACAGTGAGGAATAATTACTTCCTAGACTGAGCAATGTTTTAGTCCTACTGAAAAATCTGAAAATACCAAATACATTAAATTCTTTCCAAGCAACTTGAATGCAGCCCAGAAAACAAAGTCCAAGAATGTGATTAGAAATACCAAAATATCCTGCATTCAGTAGGTAAAAAAAATCATGTGTAGTATCCACTTAAAAATTATAGGATATACAAAAAATGAAGAGTAATATATCAATTGAAATAAGCCTAGAATTAATACAGATGTAGAATTAGCAAACAAAGCATTAAAAGCTACTACAACTATATTTTAAGTACACAAAATTTAAGTTTTGATGTGAAACATATGCAAAACATACTTAGGTCTAATTCTTAAAGACTAAAAGCTATAGTGTGTGAAATGAGATATGCTACAATGGTGTCTCAACATACATGGGCCCCACTGAGGGTACCAAAATCTGTTAATGCTCAAGTGCTTTTCAGGGAAGGTATAGCACCATATTTGCATACAAACCATCCATGTTCTCTCATATTCTTTACAGTGTCTCTAGATAGCTTATAATGTCTAATAAAAGGCCGATGCTCTGAGAATCTGAGAAAAGAGCTCAGAGCTCAGTGACACTTAAGTGCGTGCATGTGCGAACACACACACACACACACACACACACACACACACACGCGCGCGCGCGTGCGCGCACGTGCACACACACTGTCCCTCCGCGTTACCAACATGAAAAGAAGTACACCAAGTAAATAATAATAATGAAGTTGCCCAAATTCATTGATAATGGCAAAAAATGTAAAGAGAAGCCATGAAATAAGGCACATTATACACTGTGTGACCGACGTAAGGATGGCATCACATGTCCAGTAAGGAGGCCAAGGCAAACTTCTCTGGTAAGCTTCATACTTCCCTTCCAACTTCCAATCAGACATTTCCCTTCCAACTTCCAATCAGACATTTCTCTTCCCTTCCAACTTT